GGGGGGGGGGGGGGGGCCACAGACTTCCCAAGACCCCTCAGGTCTTGCTACATGCCTGTGCTGGCTGGTCTGGGGCATGAGCAACACATGGGGGGGAACCATGGATACTCTTGCCCCTACATATCAGATCCTGCATATGCTCTGGCTGGTCCGGGACCCATGCTGCGTAGGGTGGCTGCCCTGCATGGGCTGGAGTGGGCACCACATAGGAAGCATCAGAAAAAGCAGGGAGGTGCTACGAGTGCTGGATCCGGCACTAGGAAGGGGTGGATCCTGTACTGGGAGCTCTGTGGGCTGTGGCCCTACACCTGGATTGGCTTTCCCTCTGAGGTGTGCTGAGCTGGGTGCTTGCTGTGACCCTTTGGTGTCATCCACAGCACTTCACATAGTTCTGAACCAGTTTCCACTCAGTGATATTTGGAAATGGTTCAGTTGTTGTGTGTGTCCACACCCATTAACTGAGTGGCAGGGATAGCAGAGAGGCAGGCCTGCACAGGAATCATTGAAACTCTTTATAGTAATGAGTTTCACAGAGCTGTGAGTGAAATTGTTAGGCTACTGTGTCAGTTCATAGGTCCATGTTAAACACAAGTTGTAGTTTAGATTCCCTGGTAGAGTGTGTGAAATGAGCTAACTGATTTTTTTTCAGATTGAAGTTTTAGGATTCTGAAACAATGGTTTGGTTTAAGAGGAATCTTTAGAAAAAGCTCTTTATCATTGTGGATTTCATCATGGGATAAAATTTCACACATTTTGTTTCCTTTTAGGATCTCTTCCACATTCCCCCTTCTTATAAGAGCACAGTTACATTGTCCTGGAAACCTGTACAGAAGGCTGATGCAGGGTAAGTGTTGCAAGAAATCTTGCTTAATATGCTGCCCTAATACTCACATTGTTGAATCCTCATTTTGTAACATGTAGTAACTTTCTAGTACATGTTCAGCATGCAGTCAGAAAGGACACATTCATAGGTGAAATTAAGATTCTGTTGCATAAAAGTTCATTGTATTTATTGGGCAGATTATATTATGCATTGTGATAAGGTCCGGAGTCATCATGACTGCGGTTATGGAAATGCAATGTAAAATGTCTAGTCTTGCTCCGGTAAAACGCAAAATATTTAATCAGTGGAGAGCAGCCTAACTTTATCTTGTGAAGGATTTATAGTATCGTCATCTAGGATTGTAGATGTAATGTAATGTTGAAGCATTTCAGATGCCTTTTGAAATGCTTTAGAGGGCCAGCAGCAAACATACATGCTCTTTGAAACATCCCAAAATCAGCTGAACTGCTTCAGCTCCTGTTATGTGCTCACAGCTCTGGCGTGAGACAAAATCCATGGGTCATCCAGAATCTCACAGTATTCCATTCACCCTGCTGCTTTTCCCCCTACCCCACCCTCTCCTTCCCGTGTGTTGCGGGGTGAGAGCTGGGAAGACAGGCTGACGTCCTTCCTGCTTTCCCACTACCTGGTCACTGAACCCTGGCTGCTCCTGCCACCCTCCCCCCA